CGCTATGTTGGACCGCTTCGTCTTGGTCTACTTAGACAACATCCTCGTCTATAGCCGAACTCTAGAGGAGCATCTCGAGCACCTTCGTTGTGTTCTAGAGACTCTTCGGTCAACCCGGTACAATGCTAACCGCGACAAATGCGAGTTTGTCCGGCAAGAGCTTGAATACTTGGGTCATTTTGTCTCTCCGGAAGGCATTCGTCCGTTGGCCATCCAGGAGTGGCCCGAGCCAAAGAATGTGACGGACGTCCGATCCTTCCTCGGCTTGGCCGGTTATTATCAGCGTTTCATCAAGAGTTACTCGAAGATCGCGGCCAACCTAAGCAAGTTACAAAGCGAGGAGCGGCCTTTTGACTTCGATGACGATGCGCGTCATTCTTTTGAAACACTCAAAGCGGCACTCTTATCCGCCGAGGTGTTACATATTTACGACCCGCTTCTAGCTACGCGCGTCACTACCGATGCGTCGGGCTATGGCATTGGGGCCGTCCTTGAGCAGCACGATGGCACGGACTGGCACCCGATCGAGTACTTTAGCAAGAAAGTACCTCCCGTGCGTTCGATCGACGACGCACGGAAGAAGGAGCTTCTTGCCTTCGTCCACGCCCTCAAGCGTTGGCAACATTTCCTCCTTGGTCGGAAAGCATTCCGATGGGTAACGGATAACAATCCATTGGTATTCTACAAGTCGCAAGACACGATGAACAGTACCATTGCCCGATGGATGGCTTTCTTCGACCAGTTTGACTTTTTCCCCGATCACATTCCCGGGAAGTCAAACCGTTTTGAGGACGCCCTCTCACGGCGACCGGATCTTTGCAGCGCAGTCTACTCTACCTTCGAGATCGACGACGACTTGCGGGAGAGCTTCATCGGCGGCTATCAAGCCGACCCCCACTTTCGCGACAAGTACGCGAATCGCTCCTCTCCGAATCCGGTGCCTTTGCATTATCGGATCCAAGAGGGCTACTTACTTATGCATTCACGGGGTAAGGATCTTCTTTGTGTGCCGAGTGATTCACACTTGCGCACACGGCTTCTTGGCGAGTTTCACGATGCGCCCGCCTCCGGACATTTTGGTGTCAACCGTACAATTGGCCGACTTCGCCAGCGGTTCTATTGGCCCGACCTTCTCAAGGACGCCACCCGCTATTGTGAGTCGTGCGAAGTTTGTCGGCGTTGCAAGTCACGCAACTATCGTCCGTTTGGCGAGCTACACCCACTACCAGTTCCCCTTGGGCGATGAGAAGCGATTGCTATGGATATCACTGGCCCCTTCCCGAAGCACAAGACCGACGTTGATGGGATCCTCACGGTCGTCGACCGCCTCACCAAGTACGCCATGTTTTTGCCTTGCCGCTATCACGCAAAGGCACCGGAGTTAGCCGAGAACCTTATACACCGGTTGGATTCGCTCCAAGGGCTACCCCAAGGAGATCGTTTGCGACCGGGACACTCGCTTCCTCTCCGGCTTTTGGGTCGCCCTCGTCAAGCGATGGGGCTCATCTTTGAAGCCGAGTTCGGCTCGCCACCCGCAAACCGATGGTCAAACGGAAAGGGCGCATCAGACCGCTCAAGTCCTTCTACGCACTCTCATCCGTCCCGACCAGGTTGATTGGGTCGAGCGCTTGCCAGACGTTGAGTTGGCTTACAACTCATCGATCCATCCGGCTATCGGGATGTCGCCATTCGAGTTTGAGCATGGTTCACCCATCTCATCGTCGTTGGACGCCACTTTGTCGCGCACAGCCGAGAGCGACGACCATCTTGCGTTCCTTCGTCACATGCAAGAGCTTCTTGTCAAGGCACGGGATGAGATGTCGAAGACACAAATACGGATGAGCCGTCAAGCCAACCGCAATCGCCTTCCTTGCCCGTTCCGCACCGGCGATCTGGTTTGGGTCTCCGCCGCGGAGTTCACCCTTGAGCAAGACATCTCTCGCAAGCTCCTTCCCAAGTGGATGGGGCCTTGGCGCATTCTCTCTGCAGTTGGTGATGATCCCGAGGGGCCTTCATTCCGCATCGCGGTGCCACCTCACTTGCCCGTCCACACGGTGTTCCACTGTTCCAAACTCGCTCCCTTCGTCTCAGCGGAGTCCGACGAGTTTCCCGGTCGACGTACGCAAGCCCTCCTTCCATGGACGGATTTCAGGAGGCCGACTACATCATCACCGACTGGCGCCATGGCAACAAGGAAATAGAGTTTCTACTTCACTTTTCCTACTGCAGCCACAAGGCTGACCGTTGGCTGACGCGTTCGGAACTGCAGGCCACAGCTCCTGCCGTTCTCTCATGTTATCTTAGCAAAGGAAAGACTACGCCGAGCACTCCAGCTCCTCGCCTTCCTCGCTACATTCCGCCATCGGATCGGCAGCTTCGCTCACGCCCCGGCTCGTTTTCATAAGGAGGGGGGAGTGTTACATGCTGAAAGCCTACACACGGGCCCCTCACGGGACCCGAGGTTGGAATAGGGCCCCAGGTCGCGTCACTGCAACCTGAAGGCCCTATGGCATTTTTACTTGGGCCTGCATCAGAAAAACGCCAGCTTTAGATTTTTTTATATTCTTTTTTTTTTATTTGCTGTTGTTTTTCTAACGGTTGTACTGTTGTCCGTTTTGTGGCCAGGTACACGTTTTAGGACCAGGGCCAGATTCAGGCCCARAGGCTGAGCTCCTAAAAACGTTTGGACCTTTTCTTTTGTTTTCAAACAGATTGCTACCTGTTCGGACCCAGGCCGACGTTGAGGCCGGGTACGTCCGCACAGGATCGGTTCGAAGCCAGGTACCAAAAAACTGAATCCTGGACAGGGCCTGGACGTCCGGTAGGGACCCAGGCAGGCCGTTTTAGGCCAAGGACTGAACCAGTTTCAAAGCCTGCGATTTAGACCGTGGATCGGATTTCGATCTGCACGGCCCAGAACGCAGGCCGTGGGTTTTCAGTCCTGGCCCAACGCTACGTAAGCTGGGCCGTTGCGCAGTTCGTGGACAGAAGGTACCAGGAGAAATCCAGCGTTATGCTGGTTCAGGAACTTCACTGCTGCGCTATTTTGGAGACTCCCTGCTGCGCTATTTCGAGACTGCAGCTGCGCTGCTCATCGGCCATGAGGCACAGCGCTGGAGGAGTCCAGCGCCGAGGAGGGTAGTGGAGAGAGAGAGAGAGAGAGAGAGAGAGAGAGAGAGAGAGA